ACGGTTCAACTGCGCATGTCATAAATTTTTTCCTACTGATGTACTGCATACCATTCCGTGAGGCCTAAAGGTTTGATGGAATAAAACAAAACCAGTTATAACAGGAGCCATTAAATCCCTCGATTATGGTTCCGTCAGACCACATAACGATTTTCTCGGTCACGGTGTTTCTGAGAAAATGAAACCGGAAGTTACTGAACTTCTAAGAATTCATCGAAAATGCAAGGAAGTAAAAGAAAAACCACTTTTTACATGAAATAAAAGATCATTACTGAGTTATGCAATTAAATTTCTAGCTACTGTATCTCTGTGCAGTTTTGCCGTGGTCTCTTTACGGTCAGCTGATTCTCGGTCACGTGTATTTGACCTTTAGGCACCCGCCTACCCGAAGAGCTTTTGCAGGCTTCTTCCGAGTCATGGCCCAAAGTAGGAGTCTTTTTGACGATGTTAAAAGGGAATTAGAATGTTCTGTTTGTCAGGAGCAGTTTAGTGAAACTAACGAACCGAAAATACTGAAATGTCTTCACACTTTCTGCAAATCGTGTCTGGAAACATGGCTACGACAACAGGGGGGAAAGGCAATGAGTTGCCCAAATTGTCGTCAAACTACTGAATGCCCAAACAGCAACGTGGACAGCCTTCCATCCAACCTGTTTTACAAGGAGATGATGAACATTGTTAAGGCTTACAGCGGACAAGGACAAGACGATTCACCACACTGTGGAAACTGCGACGAAAGAAAGTCGCTGGAGTTTTATTGTTCGGATTGCAACCTCTTCCTTTGTGAAGACTGCGCTGGGGGCCATAAAAAGTGGAAAGTTCTTAGTAGCCATCATGTCAAAGAAATCGGAAAGTTCAAGCCAAGCGATGCACACGATTACGCTCGAAGATCAAATGTATGCAAGAAACACAACGACGAAGTGCGGTTTTACTGTGAACAGTGCGTGATATGCATTTGCCGCGACTGCGCCATATTGGATCATCGAAACCACAACATCGTTTCGCTTGACGACGGATTACAAAAGAAGAAATCAGAAATTGAGAATAAGATGCAAGAAGTCCAGGCAAATGTTCCTCGTTTGAGGAGCGAAAAAGAATCCCTAGTAAAGCGGAAAATTGGATTTAACAACAGTATTGAACAGGCGGCAAAAGAAATACATAAAACAGCTGAACGCAAGATAGAATTGATTCGCCAATATGAAGCAAGCATGACTCAGCGACTGATGAGGCGGAAAGAAACTTTCGAAGTTGCCTTTTCAAACACAGTGACCGTCTTGGACGAAAAATCGATGGAAATAGAGAGCAGCTTGGACTTTGGGAAACACCTTCTTGAGAGAAATAATTTATCGGAGATTTTAAACGTGGAAAAAGTGCTTGAACGTAGGTTTCAAGAACTCAGTTTGGAGTCTTGCGCAGCTACCTGCATGGAGCTAAATTTCTCCAGGGTCATATATGTTCCAAATGACTTGTCGTCCCAGAAAGATTCACCAGGGAAACTATTTACGACTAACACCGAACCTTTATTATCATCGGCCGATGGCGTGGGACTGACAGAGGCCATGCAAGGCGAAGGTTGCACTTTTACAGTCATTACGAAGGATTCACAGGGAAATAAGACCTACAGTGAAATTGACAGAGTTGATGTTCGCATCGAATCTGTGAAGACACGAAAAACCGTGAAGGCCACCATAACAGACTCACAAGATGGCTGCTATAAAGTATCTTACAAACCTGAAGCTGCGGGAGAGTTTAATATACGCATAACAGTATCTGGTGAAGCAATCAAGGGCAGTCCCTTTCAGTTAAGAGTGGAAGAAAGAGGATGGCTGACTGTAAAAGAAAAAAAGAAGAGAAGAAGTGGAAAATAAGTAGGTAATGGTCACTTGACGGAATTGCGAATTTCAGCAAACGGAAATTTCACAAACGGTTGCAGGCAACACGCGAGTTCAGTACAGATTATGTACTTGATCCAATTGGATCTGACAATGGCCATGAACTTCTGAAAGTAACGAACCCCCTGAAAGGGGGGTAAGGGCTGCAAGATTGTAAGTCCACGACTGTTAAGTGTTTTCCCTCGATGAATATAGTTATTGATATTATACAGCAGTAAAAATGTATGCATGCATGCTATGTGCAGTCATTAAAGTGCCTATGAAGTAAAAAAATAATTGCTGCTTATTTGCAAGGCTTTTCAAAGTAAAGAAGAATGGCGTTTTCTATTTTGGAATATCTTTTTTCATTTAAGAGATATTTACGTTTTTGTAAGGAAAGTGATGATGTCATAGGTGGTTCCAGTAAAACAGCACAACACTCAATCGAGAATAACCCTAGAAATATTAAAGCAATGTTCTTTAAACTTGGCACAAGAAATGTACATCTCAAAAGAAACATAATGACACCTGTTGTGCCATTGCCGTGACAACAGTTATGCGGCTGGTTCTGTCTTAAGACTAAAATTCCCAGATTTTATCTTAAACAAGGATCATCCACTCCCACCAATCTAATGGGTGAGTTAAGACAATATGGGAACCATGTGTGTTCTGAGCAAGACCCTTTGTCCCACTTTAAAAGGTTGCAAATGGGGATATTTGGTTTTTCACAGAAAGAGACTGGAGCCGAGAGTGTTGCCAGGGCAACAGCATAGTAGGTGTCATTCTGTTTCTTTTGTGATGTATATTTCTGGTGCCAAGTTTGAAGAACACTGCTTTAATATTTCTAGAGTTATTCTCGATTGAGTGTTGTGCTGTTTTAGAGGAACCACCTATGACGTCATCACTTTCCTTTTTCGCAAAATCGTAGGAGCGCTCGTTACAAAAATGCAGAGCGATATACAAATTAGATAGAAAGAAATTGTTACTCTTTTGTGTTTGTATTCTTAGCTTATACGTTATTTATTGTTAGAGTAGTAGGTCCACATCACCCCTTTGGCCGCCTCTTTTTTAAACCTATTTTACCAAATATTTTTTAATAAATATTACCATCATGATAGCTTGTGATAAAAAACAATAAAAAAGTGCAATTTACAGTAAAACCATTCTGAATAGTGATGTTAAATGCACTCCCATTCTTAGGTCATAAATTATTTAAATTACCATACAGGTATCTAGCATACTATGCATTAGATACGCTACTCTTTCAAAATATACAATACAGTAGGTAACAACAGGATTACATGCAGAGAAAGCCAAGAACACAATTGAGAAGTAATTACAAATTTTATAGATCTTATATTAATCATGTTAACTAGCTGATCTGACATTGATACCACCAGTAGGACCAAGAGGGTCTATTTCAAGGCATCTGTATTAACAGGGACAAAACCAGACTGTAATAAAGAAAAAAGTACTGAAGCAATACCAGATTCACTAATATTTAGATGAATGTATGGAAATTGGCAAGGAGAATTAGTATTTCAAACAACAAGTTAGGAACGGAAAGCTAGTTCATGTTTTTGTCCAAGGGCACCTTCATCGTTATCCAGTAATACAAGAATATTTCCTACACACTTGTGAGATATGTTTTCTAATAACCACAACAGCCTCTAAGGCAATGTTCATTGTTAGCCCAATGAACTAATAAGATTTTTCACATATTCGATCAGCCTCTCATCTCCAATGATTCCCATGTGCTCAGCATTTGAAAATGACTTGATAACTACTGATTGTTTTTGTTTGCCCACAAAGCTGTGACAAGCCTGCAGGCTGCGAATATTGACTGTGCCATCACCATCTCCAAACAGTGTCTGGGGGAATGTATCAGGGAACTCATCTGCACCGTAAACAAACTTTTCGGGCGTAGACACATTAGTGCCGTAGAGGC